TTTTCTGTGTCGGTTAAAAACACAAATGCATTTGATATAAAATTGATTTTGTGGGACGAAAAGGTGGGACTCCACTTTTAGGATTCTTTATGTCTTAAAGAAGTTGAAACCACTATGTTACAGAAGATATAGACTTATAATTTAACAGTACGTCATTGACTATGGATACTGCAATTAAACAAAATATTATAAGACTTAAGCTTGTATTGTTGGTAACGCTTGAGAGCAATGATTTAAACTAGATGTCAAAACTCTAAACTCTCTTTTTTCAAGTTGGTTTTCATTGTGTATTTTACTCTTAGAGTATAATATTTAAGTAATATGAAAGGAAAAACAATTTTTCATATAAATCATTCTATTTGGCTGGAACTCTTCACTTTAAAATAAAGATAAAACATGAATTAATTTAATCGTTCAAGTAAAAAGCATACCTAATAATAGTTTCATCAAATAATTAGTAACATCTATGTTTAGATGATTCTTTAAAGCAATCTCTAATTACATGAAATGAATCCACAATCCAAATTGAAATAAAAGGAATGGAATATAGATATTTACAGACGAACTTAGAAACATTCTTAATTATAACCTCTTATCAATATAAATGTGACATAAATGAAACAATTATTTAATAAAATATATTTCAAATGCTTACCCACACCTTAACAAATAAAATGGCATAACACATCAAAACTTGTAAACAAGGAGAATAAAATAAAACCCGAAAAAGTCCCACAATTTGGTTTAGACTTTAATAAATCATAACAAACTTTGTGCCTTATTCAAAATGTTTTGTTACGAGTTGTTAAATAACAACAAAATGTAAAGTGAATCTGGAATAACACAAGAGAAACCACACGTAATGTTAAAGTAATAAAACATGTCGGGGTTGAATTCTCGGTATTTTGGGCCTATGTTGCCGACGTTTACATTTGTTCTGTTTTTACTTTGTCCCTACACATGTTGCATAATCATACAGTTTTATTTTAATTTCATTTTTTGAGGGTTGTGCCGTTATCCTATCAAATTTCTACTTTGTTTTGTTTTGACCGTGCACTGTACACATTTGCCAATAAATTAATTAAAATGTATTTCAGTACAAATTTAGGCTAATTATTTCTATAAACTTATTACGGACGCTAATTTGAATTTCGCATTAGCACATAACAAATATCTCTATCCTTTACCTTACGATTATAATTCATTTCATGGTCAAGTAGCCCATTTTATGGAAGTAATTTTAAAAGATAGTATACTAGCTGTAACCCGCGGGCTTTGCCCCGTTTAACTTCTTAATTTTTAATATTATCTCGTTCGCATGGCTCAATCTCGTCCTGGTTGAAGTTTGTTCGCTACGCTCACTCACCTTTAGGTTGGAGCTCGTTCGCTACGCTCACTCACCTTTAGGTTGGAGCTTGTTCGCTGCGCTCACTTGCCTTCAGGTTAGCTCGTTCGCTACGCTAACTCGCCTCCAGGTTGAAGTTCGTTCGCTACGCTCACTCACCTTTTAGTTGCAAATTAGCTGTTGTCATAAATGTAAAAGAAATAATAGTGCTGCACCCTGTTGGCAATCCTTGTAACTTTAATGCTATTGAACATCATAGAACAGAACCAACTTGTTTAATTGAAACAGCTGTTAAGATTCAATAATTCCATTTCTCATAAGGTTAACATGGGAAACTCCAGAGCCACTGGGGCGGAGCCCGAAAGGATTTTTGAAATAAGAATATGCCTATATGTTAATCGGGAATGTGAGCTATCATCATGCCAAATTTCAGCCCAATCCGACCAGTATTTTTCGCGTTCACTTGTCACAAACATACATCCATACATCCAAACTTTCTCATTTATAATATTAGTAGGATTAATAAAGTGAAGATCTTTCATAGCTTATTTCTCTGACAGACTCAACAATCATCTCATGGAACAAAACTTTTTTAAAAGGGATCTTGTAACTTACCTGAAAAATCATAAATATTAAGGCAATTTAAAATCTTTAGTTTCTGAATTTCCACTCGATAAAACGATAAAACTATTTGCATTTGTGATTTTAATCCTTTATTAAATGTATTTAACTGAAAATTTGTACTTAGAACTAACTTTTAAAGATATAAATTGTTTAAATTATAAACTTTAAACAGAAAATTGTAAAAAAAACTCTTGAACGACAATAACAAGTTCATGTGTGAGTAAGAATTGTTTAGTTTTAATTAATAATTCATGCAAAGCTAAAGTTGTTGACTGGGTTATTGTGTACATGACACAAATTGCATATGCAAATATATTGGCATTTATGATTCATATGGAAATATCATGCTGTCAAGTGTTCAATAATATAGCTAGATAGTCATTGGGCATGTCAGTTGCATAACATTGTTACCGATGTGTTGTAGTCTTTAAAAATAATTGCACATAATCGCAAATGGTCTACGTCTTATTGTTAGTTACTCAATGATTGACGTTTTAAATATTGATTGGAAAAATATTTGTTTGCAAAACAATGTCTTTTACACTAAAAAAATGTTTTTAACAAAACAACTATTTGATAAACCATTTTCAAATTAGTTGATAAATTCATCGTCAAAGTTGTAAATATTGTAAAAGAATTTTATATCCACCTCTACCATTTAATACCTGCTTATTGGTCAATCATATTAAATTAATAAATCCTTTTGGATATATATTTTTTAATCTAACCACTAGCGTGCTATTAATAACGTGCATATTAATTTCGAATAATTAATTTTCACCTTAGCGTTGCAAACATAAGTTTACCTTATAACAGCCGTAGTATAGACACATTGGTTTTAAAACAGCGAACGATATATATTATATGATTAACGAATTATTAAATACAGGGTGTCCCGGAACTCTCTACCAATATTTTAGGGCATTGATCCTGGGTAAGAAACGTACCTAAATATCATATTTAAATTGTCCAGAAGTCCTTAGTTACTCACACAGCCGCCATTTTGTTTTTTTTCAGTTATTAATTTTTTTCTAAAGAACGGTTAAACATACGAAATGGAAACTTTGCACAAACATTTATGAAACTAGACAAAGCTACAAAAAATTATGAATATTTTTCAAATTCATAAAACAAAATGGCGGCCATTTAAAATTTTCATTCTTAAATAACTCAAAAACCATTGATTTTACAAAATTTTTAAATGGCCGCCATTTTGTTTTATGAATTTGAAAAATCGTGATAATTTTTTGGTAGCTTTGTCTAGTTGTCATAAATGTTTGCGAAAATTTTCCATTTCGTAAGTTTAACCATTCCCTAAAAAAAAATTAATAACTGAAAAAACAAAATGGCGGCTGTGTGAGTAACTAAGGACTTCTGGACAGTTTTAATATGATATTTAGTTATGTTTCTTACCCAGGAGCAATGCCCTAAAATATTGGTAGAGAGTTCCGGGACACCCTGTATATTGAGATGTGCACGGACTTAGTATAACACTATTTAAATAATCCTTATATTCCGAGAAGCTATTCTACTTATTTATGTAATCACATACAAACCCAAAGACAGTTGCAATATTTACTATCAGTCATAAGCTCTATAACTTATTAAAATTAATATCATATTTGGTTATTTATTAAGATACTAGTATAACTGGTTTGATATAATTACATACAACGAATGAAACCTAAGTATATATTCGATAGGTACAGTTTATAGGACAGTAAATCTTTAACAAAACAACTTTAACAGATTTACATATTATATTACGGCTATTATTCTGAATTGAAGTTAAGTAGAATTTCGTGAAAACAGTTTGTAGTTGGCGTATTGAAAGTCAAAACAAGTACAAAGCAAAACAACTTAACGCGGTATGAAGCAATACACTAAACTTGTAATTGTGGCCAATAACTCTGAAAAAGCTGTAAGATTAAATTATCAAATAATATTTTTCAAAATTCAAAGTAATATTTATCAGTTTAATTACCTACAATTCACTTATAAAATACATCATTTATCACTATATTAATTTCTATACAAAAAATATGTACTAATCATACAAACTATAAAATAAAGAAACAAATATTCTAAAATAAAGCAATGAAACTGTATTACTTTGAAAGTTTTAAATGAAACAACAGAAAAGACGAGTACAACAAAGCAAGTCCGTCCGCCATATTGATTATTGTTGTTCTCTCTTGCACGCTGAGCAGAACAAAGTGGGTATCAACTTGGTTGTATGTACAATCCGTAACACACAAAAGACATTTAACATTTATTTTCTAAATCTATGGGATACGGTACGATTTATTTCTCACTAATAAAACTCATAATCGTCCAGAATTTGTGTTTTAATTATTTAATTACTTACTTACTTACTTGATACTTGTAGTCTATGTCGTTGACCGATGAAATCGGCATGACTGCGTCAGATTACTAAATACTAAAATACTATTTACACAATACTATTTACACTGTGGCAATGGCTAAAAAGTGGCTCGTTGCCTAATTCTTCGAGGCTGTAAAGAGGCCTATTAACCAGCCTGTCACGCAGGGCCGTCTTATAATCATCAAGGTCCAGATTGCGCACATGAACCGGCAAGGAATTAAACAGCCTTATCGCCGACCGAGGATAACTCTTCAGAGAGTGGGCTAGGCGGCATCTCGGCAGATCAATGTCACAAGCTTGGCGGGTATGGTGGCTATGTACATTGTCTCTGACTACAAAATGATGAATGTTTATCTTCAGCAGGGTCAAGATGTTAAGGACATACTGGCTGTAGACAGTCAACACACCCAACTCGAGGAAGATAGGCCGACAGTGTGCTTTGTAGCCAGAAGATGTTATTATTCTCATCGCCCTCTTTTGTAGTAGGAGTAATTCCTGTGTTGACGGAGAATGACCCCACAGAACCAGGCCATACGTGAGGTGACTGTGAAACAGTGCGTGATACACCGCTAGCAAATACGGTCTGGTAATGGTGGTCCTAAGCTTCCTTAAAAGGTGAAGAACTCTTGAGAGCTTTACACATACCTTTTCAATATGGTGGTGCCAACTTAGCTTAGAGTCCATCCAGAACCCAAGCAGCTTCACGCTGTTGTCCTCAAGGCCGATCTTCAGGGAACACATAAGGGTCTGAGTCTTCTCCTCGTTGATCTTGAGTTTGTTGGCTATAAACCAGTCCTTTGCCAGCCTCAGGGCGTTGTTTGCCTCCTCCAGCAACGGGTCGATGTTCTTCCCCTTTGTGACCAAGGTGGTATCATCTGCAAACAGGAGGGCATGGCTGGTTGTAGCAAGGTCATTGATCATGATTGTGAAAAGGAGAGGGCCCAGAACCGATCCCTGCGGAACTCCATGGGGAAGAGAGCCCATAGTAGATGAAGCTCCCATGATTGTCACTATTTGTTTGCGGTTGCCAAGGTAGTCCGCAAGAGAGCTGAACAATTAACAAGTGACTCAAAACCATTCTTTGAAAGGCTCTAAGTTGAAATAAATAATACTGCTTAATTTACACATTGAAAACAATAATTTAAAATGTGGTTTATTTCAACATAGGCTATTTATATTATAGTTTATTTACAAAACACCTAGAACGATAAGCGCTAGTTTTAATTATTATTCAACAGATTACAAAACATAAAACTGAATAGTATTATTTCTGTTATGAAGGATGTATAATATAATTTACAACTAAAGTACCATCTCGAATTTTCATTTTTATACGTTGAAACCAAAAACCTTTAGTGCATATTCTTCGATAGTTAATAAATCTACTAGTTATGCAGTGCTATTTGCCACATTTAAACAATAAGAAATGAGTTTAAATAACAGAATAACATATTATTATACTCAAATGGTATTAGCTTTGACTTGAGGAGTAAAAAACAAGAAAGGATATTTACAATGAAAGGATAAATGAAGGAAAATTTTTAGTATTGCCTAATTTTAACATAAATATTTAGTTTATCCTAAAAAAGTGTGTCAAAATGTCTCCCAAATATTAAACTAAAATATTAATATTAGTTATCTACCACTTGGCTTAAACATAAAGGAAGTTTTAAACAGTAAATCCAGATATAACTGGAAGTTTCGTTTCGGAAATTATTCTAGAACAATCAAGTTGGATGGTTAACCACACTACAATGTGTCTAACCCAACTTTGACGTATGGAATCTCATACACGGTGTAAGTATGAGGGTTAGAGGTAAATATTTAATTCAACAAACTAATACCAATTATACATTAGGTTACATTTAACTAAATTTATCTTACAGACTTCGGAAGGGGTGGTTTTCCTATACGGAGTGTTTTTCTGACCTGTGAGGCCAATCATTTATTTTTTTTACAAGTAGATATAACAATGGGTCATGGTTATTTTAGTTGGTGAGAATTAAACCCGCGTTTCCAGAGACGAAGTGTTTTACCTTCTGTTTTTAAGGGGGGCCACCAGTTGACCGACAAGATACTTGGTCGTCTTGCCACTAGACCGTCTTTTTTAATTAAATAGATAAATACTGAAAACCAGTACGTCGACAAGTTATTTCATCGTCAGTCCAGTTGACCGGCCTGTAAATCTAAATTATTATATACGAGAAACCAACTTGTCGTCAATCCTCCCGACCGACTTACCACTTGCTCGTCTTTTAGGTGGGGATGTGTTGAGCGGCAGTGCCAGCGGCGCGCGCAGCTGTGGAGGGCACTGCAGGCGTACCAACTTCTGTATCTTGTAGCGGCGGTTTTCATTCCGACGATTTTCAGCTATCACAATGCAGCGAACTAGCGAGGTTCTTATTACGTGTAATTGTTTGTTTCTCAATCGATATTTTGTTATACACAGTACAGTGAATATAAATAGGCCTATATTAGTTTACTTCAATGAAATAAATGTTTTATTTAGCTAAATAAATAAAAATACGCCGATTGAACAAATAAAATTGTTACAGACAACAGGAAGTCCTTAATATGATCAAAAAAGTGTTTATCTTTATTAAAAAATTACTGAAATTTGTAAACTTACTGCTGGCGACAAGGGTGGTGCCATACATAGGTTTATCAATAAATAAGATAAACATGGACAACCTTATGCAGCTATAAGTCAGGAAACATTTGTAGAAACATTAAAAAGTAATACCAATTTATGAAATATGATAAAATATTTACAGGAAATGTTGATTACTGTATATACATCGTGAGTATCTCCAGCAGTTACACACTGGTGATCTTTGAGTTGACTCTTTTAAACTCATTGATTATTACTTTTTTTCGTTTTGAAATAAATTCTGTATTACTTTGAAATTGCTCGAATTCGAGCAACATGTACACGAGTTTGAATATTAAATTAACTAACATATTTATGTAATAGGAGGGTCAAATATTGTTAACAGTGGTGAGGTAACTACCGTTACATTTATTCAATTGAGAGATAAATACAAATTGATAATACCGGTTATTTAAAGCTTTGTTGTCTATTTTTCCCTCTCTTAAAAAAATAAAATAAAGAATGAATTTAGACTTTTGGTGACATTAGTTTGTACTATTTCTCCTTAAATGACACTGCTGTCTTGGTAAGCAATAGTTATCTCGGTAAACTATTTATTTGCTGAAGTGCACAGTGTGCTACTTAGCCTGAGAAACATCTTTTGTTTTATGATTTTGTTGTAGGCCTATTGAAAACCTTGTCTAGAAGGAATTCCCATTGCCTGTGTTACCGGGGAGAAGTTTTTCTTAGTAAAGTCTGTAGACGTCTTCGGTTTTACACAGAAACATGTAAATATAATTGAAGAAGTACATGTTTTATCCTCTCACGTTGTTGCGTGGACAATACTATGGTGATTCAATTCTGTGTACTTCAATTGTCTAACTGGCCCTAACTGACGCATCCTTGTTTTTTTTTACTAAATAATGTAGTCTTTACTTCCGTGGATCTTTGCGTTTTATTGTTTAACTGTCCTCAAGTAAGTCTGTGTTCTGAGTAAGTACTTCAAATGCACGGCACTACTGTATATTCAGATTTTCTAATGAACTATCATAGATAAAAGGAGTATAGATATGTATGTATGACAGAGTATGTCTACTCCTTTTATCTATGGTACTATTTCCAAGTTCATCTGGACGACCCTGCAAATCGTTTCTATTAAAAAAAATTGTATTTGGTTTATGTTTATGAACTTGTATGAGTGTTGTTAACTAAAGCTAAATTCACATCAAATTAATTAATTTAATTTATTTTAATAGTATTTCTAATTAATTTCAGTTTTAAGAACATATAGTAAATAAATCCTTGTTGAAACGGCTGTACTATCCATGCAATTATTGTCAAACTATATGTTCAAAGATTCCTGGACGGCAATGTTATAATACTAGTTGGAGCAGAGGTACTGGATCTAGGGTTAATACAGTTTTGTGACGTGTAAGGTATATCACTGCAGAAGTAGTTAGCTCAAGAATTATGACGCGGATGACAAAGATTGGTAGCTTTTGCTATAATTATAAAAAAAAACCAAGTACATAAAATCATTCACAGTTTTTTTTCACAGTCTATTGAATAGCCTGCAGTTAAGTTCACTCTAATGAAGAATATAGACGTGGCCAGAGTTCCAAACGATTTAAGCAACAACTGTTTACATGAACTATCCTATATGTAAGTTTTTTTTTTATAGTGTGCAATGTACTTATTGAATTTTCATTAGTAATATATCATGGCTATATCGTTTATGTAAAAGTATCAAAAGATAGTAAAACGAAAACGAAACAATCAACCAAGACCAGTGACCGAAACAAGTGTCGAGCTGGCGGCGCCGCGCCTACCTCGGGATTCCCCGAGGGCAATAATTCATCTTTGAAGTAACACCGGTAACACTGACTCACTGGCCGACACGGATACCCGCCTACCACCCCCTTTGTGTCGTCACCCTATGACCACCGGTCGGTCAGCCACCCATCCAAGGAAACTCTAGACATCGGCGGCTCTTTGTCGTTCGTTGACCAGCGTATTTTCTAGAGTTGAATGTATACCCTCACTCACACCAGGGAATAAGTAAACTGTAGTAGTTTTCTTGTTTATGAAAATATTTGCATTAAATTAGAAAAAAATCATTTATTTATTTATAAAATGTTATTATTTAAAAAAAAAACACACTTTTACCCTCCCTGTTGCAGCAAACCTAAGTACTTGTTAAACTTATTCTATTTAAATATGGAATAACTGTGATATTTTCAAAAAGTCATTTTAGTGTAAATCCAATCAGGCAAATAGAAATTTGCTTAGTCTGCAGGTTTGTTGCGGTGGGGGTATATTTCGTCATAAACTCTTTTGCCACTTAAGAATCTTCAATAGTAAAGTGGCAACTAAAACGCGACTCCAGCGACCCAATTCTGGCGGCGCTCTAGAACTACCCGAAGGCCTTTTCCGGTATTACGCGTGCCGCATCACACAAGTAGTTTTCCCGCGCCCCTATTCAAACGCTTGTAGGCGAAGAAAAAGAAAGCGAGTTGACGACCGAGGCTAGGTCGACCCGATCGACTTCGACAGCTGTTTTACTGTCTCTCTCCCTCTCTCTCTCTGTCTTTGGATGTGTAGGGTTGGCGAGGGTTGTAAAATTGCTGAAAGTGAAAGGGACGTGGCTGGCGCTACGTTCCTAGTTTTTGGCCTCTTGATGCTAACACTGAGTCGGCTACTCGAGATCAAACAACAGCGTGTGTTTAGTACAAAATTGGGTCCACAGTCACATCTATTACTTATTTAATACGCAAGCAGGATTTTTGTGACAATTATTCCTCCGAAACTACTGAACCGATTGACATGTTTTTGGTGTCATTGGAAAGAGCGTAACGTGAAGTTGTGCAGGAAACTTTCTTTTTAGGTAAATAATTAGAGAGTGAGGCCCTGGGGCCCTTTAAAGTTTCGTATTTCTCCATAAGATTAACACGGGAAACAAACATTGTTTTGAAACTCCAGCTGTTGTCAGGAATTAAATCTATATATTAATAGGCAAGCATGTTTCTTTAAAACCTTTTTTCTCAGCTCGTGTGCATCGCAGGGAGAATCTACCCATACTGTTGGAAAGCTATTTTCCTGTAGATGTGCATAATGCCTTTAAAAATTAAAATAGGCTAACAAATAAGCACAAAAAATTAATTTGAAAACTTAAAAAATTTAACATGGACCATATGGGTTGCCAAGATGGTGACGAAATAACAACAAAATGTGAACAGAAAATCAAAACAAATGGAAGAAATTCCAATCACATGTTTTATTTACAGT